AGAGACACTCAAAGGGGGTTAAAATCTGGATCAAAATTTTAAACTATAATATAATAGTAGACTATAGTGTTCCAATTAATTAATAGGCTAAATTTCAGTAATTTTCAGCAGTTTTGGATGAAATAAATGCGAAACTCACGATCGGAGATTTCGGATCAAAATTTGGAATTAACGTAACGTGATGACAGAGAACTTTCGTCGAAGATAACGACAGAAGAAAGTTCACGATAAAGAACTTGTTCGTACATTATGTTAAAAATTCTCGAGCTCATGGAGCTCGATATTTACAATTATTTTGTTATTTACGAATTTCCATAAAGAGCATATGGTGCATAATGATTTAAAAAAGTGACAAAATAATTAAATGAAACTGGAATAATCTTTCAACAGGCATGATATCAGAAATTCCTAGAACGATTATTATCATTCTCCTTTTCTTCGCTAATTTTTTCACCGATTCCCCCCCCCCCTTTTCGACTCCAATCATTGGGAAAGGGAGGAGAGGAAAAAAACGAAATAACACATCGCACGGGAAACAGTGGATACGTTTTATTGCGAACGGTACGTTTACAATGGCGTGGTAGTACACCAATTTGTAATTAGAACCGAAATGAATTTCAGTTAACACGCGTCGACGATTGTGTTTAGAAAGCTCGCTCTCCACCTGACTACGTTTGCGTTTTAGCAGAATTTGCACTGCGTTCATTTCCAAGTGTCATCGCCAGTTCGTCACTGGAGAACAGAGAGAGAGAAAAAAAAAAAAGAAGAGCACACTTAATTGAACGTTTTAGAAACTTTACTCCAGTTTTGACACTTCTGCTTTTAAATCGAAAATCAAAAATGCCAGATATTTAATTTCATTTTCGTAAATCTCTACTATATATTCATATAATATATAACAATAATATAAGTATGTAATATAATATTGTAATATTGTGTTTTAGGTTCGAATTTTTCATAAACCCGTAGAAATTCGCCAGTTAATTGGAAATAGTTGTTGAGACTGAATAAGTTAAATTGCTACGATACACTTTAATTATTGTAATAATCAGTAACTGCATATGAAGAGCAAAATTGATAAACGATATTAATTTTTAAGACAAATTTTACACTGAAAGTAAACAGCAAAACTTAGGCATAGAATTAATAATACATGATAATGCGATTTTTTTGTTGAATTTTTTTGTTAAATTTCAGACATTTATTATCGCGGATTTTTATACGTTTAAAAGGAATTTCCACGGAAAAGAAATATTGAAATTCACTAAATTCGTGAAAAAATTTTCAATTATTTATTTATTTTCTTTTTTTTTTTATTAAATTCCCAAAGATACGAATTTCCATAAAAATCCGCAGTTTATTTATCGCTAGTAAGTGTCTGTCTATATATACGAAGAGCATAACTGTACCAATGACAATGAAAAATCGTCGATGATTTAAACTGACGTAACTTCCTATAAAAAAAAAAAAGAGAGATCGTATAACGATCCACTCCATATCGT